ATAAAAATTAGTGAAGACGAACCAAGACATTAGTTTCCCACTCCTACTAATCTGCTGATCTCATTCTCCGACCACATAGAGGACTTTCAATCACTTGCTGTACTGGTATTTTTAATTAAAATGGAGGCTACCTGAAAAAAATCACAGCTTCCTTTTCTTCTCATACACCATTCATTTGCTGTTAGTTTCCTGGAGAAACGGCCCTGTTCTCTTTTAGCTAAGTTTCTTTTTTTTTAATTAAAATGAATCTGAATATAATACTCTGATATTCTTTATAAAATGATAACATAAAGTTTTTAAAAATCAGCCCAAGATTATTGGTTTGCAAAAGAAAACAAAATCATTCCTTTTTGTGCTTATGAGTTCCTTGATGGCAATAGGTCCCAGTTAATCAGTTGTCCTTGCTTCCTTTGTCCTGCATTCAAGGGTTTGTCATGGGAACAAAAGGCCAGTTCCTTATGCAAACTGAATCCTTGTCGCCAATATATTGGAAACGGATCTTTCTTCATATAGGCCCAACCCCTGGATTTTTCCGTTCAGTGTTTTTCCTAGCAGAACCAAAGCCCACATGTTATTAACCATATGCTCTGCAAAGAAGGAAGAGTCCCTGAAATGAAGGGCAGCTCGGCCACCCTAGAAGCATGCACTGGTACAAGCTGAGTTTCTATCTGTTCTAAACCTTAGTAGCACAAGGTAATTTACAACCTGCCATCTCTTCACTGAGTGAGAAGAATTCTTCATATGTTATCAATGAAGGAAGAACACAATTTAAACTGTTCTGCTATCTAGCATCTGGTTTCAGTTTCCTTGAAGACAATGGGTAATGACTAATTTAAAAGCTGCCATGGATCCCTCAGACATGGTAATGGTAGCTTGGATAGAAAGAACACCTGAGGAAAGGAGAGATGGAGGCAGAAGAGAAGACAGGAGAGAGGAGGGGAGGAGAGAAAATACAGGAGTAGGAGCATCAGGAAAATCAAATCCGACTGAAATGTAAGAACTTTTGCTATGACAATAAGGTTATTCATGAGGAATTAGCTATAGTAGGGTTGGGAGCAGGGTAGGGTAGGGAGACGACAAAGCAGAAAAACGAGATTGAGGTGTGTCAGCAAGGGTGGTGGATCAAACATGTATCTGACTTCACTCTCCTGGATACATTCCTAAAATGGAAACCCAATGCATAAATTTTAAGGCATAAATCTACATTGGGGAAGAAAATATGAGCAGATATATTAATAGCAATATTTTTGGAAGCTGGAAAGGGCAAGGAAATAAAAATAATTGACATGTCAACAAGGAGAAAGCCAAATCCTAAGAATGCAGCAAGGTCCAGGAACCAATTTGCACAAAATGTGGGCTGGACAGTTTCGGACATGGTGGCCAAGCCCCACGGGAGGAACTGTGGGGGTTAGTGCTCTTCCTAAACCCAGGAACTTTCTTAATCTGTTTCTAAAAGCTCTTCCACATTAGCAAACTTCTAAGAAGTGGGCAGGGTTATCTCTAAAGGAGTTTAAGCAGAGGGACTTTCAGGTGAAGGTTCATACCTGGAAGCACAGTAGCCAGGACTGTCATGCACTGGGCTATCCATTGTAGGAATGACACTTTACAGAGCTGTGGGGAGTTGCTGGACAGTCAGAGATTCAACATCCAATCAAACCAAGAGGCCAATGATGTCTCTGTACTGGAACTACAGAGAAGAAACACATGCAAAGGTGTATGGGAAATTGTGGCTTCCAGGTAGCAATGGCCCCTCACAGTGTCCAGCAAAGCCTCTGGCACTGGGGAACAAATTCTCAACTTAGAGCTTGAGACGGTGGAAATGTAATGAACCCTCCAAGTGTGTCTGGCCTATTTTACCAGTGAAGGGCCTCACTTTGAACATTGTACCTCAATATTTTGAACTAGATCTATCATTTTCAAAACAATTTCTAATGCAATGTATCTTTAAACATTAATATAAGAATGATTCATTTTCTTTTCATCTCTCTGATTTTTTAAAATCAGAGACCTACTATTCTATGCTTAGGTCTAGATTGAAAGTACTTACGGTTCAACATAATAGTTAGAATACAATTATTTTGAAAGTCAGATAAGAATAAAGTGACTCCAGGAGAAAGATTTTTGAATTAGGCAATCATACTCATTTCTATTAATCTTGAATATTAATCAGTCTAGGAAAATTAATCAAGAGGCAAGTAACAGAAAAATCTTCAGATATATTTATTACCAGAATCACTTTATAAAGGTCCTATATTTTTTTTTAAAATTTATAGGCTATAAAAATGAATGTTGAAAGTGTCATTATTTGAAATGCAAATTTTTAAAAATCTGCTTTTCACAGCCTGTTTTCACTACAAAAAAGCCATTTATTCAGAAAGAAAAACATGCCCCACTCTGAAGTAAATGTTTATAGAATATGAATGTGAATTATGCTCCCTGCGTATTCATTTATACCTGAATGCAGCAGGAACATGAATAATCTAACAAAAGTGGCAGGATTCCCACAAATTCTGGAAACCACATTAGCCAAACAGCTAGAGCACAGTAGGCTTTCTAACAAGACAGTTTGTCTCAAGGAAAGTCAGAGTGACCTTGTCAATTACTGAGTCTGTAAGAAGTAATTACTGAATTCACAAAGTAGAGGGACTTTACCAGCCCACTTAGGTGGGGAAAAACCCCACAATATCAGGACAAAAATAAATCTGTTCTTTACCCACATAAACATTCTCTCCTGATAACACTTCCTAAGTTACCACACTTTAAGAAGGGGCAAGAAGAAAAAAATCACCACTTGCTAAATATCTATTCTTGGCACTTTACAGATATAATTACAGAGCCCTGAGTCTCATCAGTACTAAACAGAATGGGGATTCCTGCCCAGAAGAAGTGACTCAGAATCATTATAATTAGTCCATGTGGCTGTAATGAGGATTAGATGCATGCTGAGCTCAGAACCATGCAGACAGAAGGACAGGAACACCGAGAAGGCCACACATCTATGTTCCAGAGACTCAGGGCCTGCCTAGGAAAGGAGTGCACTCAGGACGGGGCGCAGGTGTGTGCGGAGGAAGGAACGGAGCTTGCTGGGGACCTTACAGTCCTCTGTGAGGCAGCACCACCGGGGAAGAACACACCAAGCCCGCAGTCCTCTCTTAGTTGGTTTGAATGGCTGAAAACGAAAATGTGGAGAAACCCAGAAGGCAGTCAGAGAACAAAGGACACGTTACAGAATCAAAACCAGTTATTAGAGCAAGAGAGAACTTTTTCACAAATCATACAAGCTAGAAAACAATGAACTGGCATATTTAAAGTGCTACAGGAAATAAAAGACTGTTTAATAGAATTCCATGTAAAATAAAATTATTTTGTATGACTAAAGAAGAAATGCTTTCTTTGGGATGAATTAGAAGACATGGGAAAGGAATTTACTCAAGCAGAAAGGATATACAGGATGACAAGTTGGGTCTTCATGGAGAAATAAAGAAACATGAAAATAAAATAAACAAAGGGAATATGAAACCTTAATTTAAAATTTTAAATTAGTTTAAAATGTAACTCGCTATTCAAAATCTATAACACAAGAAATTAAGTCTTTAGATAAAAATGTAAAATGTTTAAAGATTAATATGTATTTTCGGAAAATGAAGGCAAAAAATAAAATGCTGGTTTTAGCAAATCTCATCATGTTACACATAAAAGAGACAACCACACAGAGAAAATAGCAAAGAAAGTATCTGATCTCAGTAATTTTGGGTAAAATATTTAAATGGTTATTTTAAAACTAAAGACAAACAATGTATATACAAACACTGTGTTCTATGTAAATTCACTCCTCAAAATGTAATTATTAGCAATTGTCAGTCTCCTTTTGATGTATCCTACTGAAGAACAGGTGAGTAAATATAAAGTAGATAATGAGAGAGGCTTCTCACATCATTAGAGAAATAAGTTAATATAAAGGGGAGAAAAAGGAGAATTAAGTGATAGTGCCAGAATGAGGCTGGATTTGAAAAGGAGGTATCTCCACACACTCATATTTTTCATTTAAATTTTTAAACACTCTGTATGATTGCTGATAGGCATAGAAATGCATGGGCACGTGTGTATGCATGCTTACAATATGTGCATTTATTTCCTAATTCTTTCTTTTAAGTGGGCCTCCATGGCATTAGCAATGATACCACTGACCACACATATTCAGATTCATGATGTCATTCTTCAATAAAAGAAACTAGATCTCCATGGAAGAGTGGGAACTGGGATGATGAAACACAAGTCTGGAGTACAATATGATATCAAGAAGAAAAAGTAAAGTAAAGACAGGCATTTAGAAAGTATGCAGGAGCCAACCTGGAAGTATTCACTAAACATGCCTATTTGAGCAACATAATAAATACCTTTTGCACTGGATTACAGCCCAAAAAGTAAAACAAATATCCACAAATCCATATTAACATAAACAAGTAAATAAATGCAAGAGAGATATAAGGTATTGCATCTCTTCCTTATACAAGAATTTCCATTAATAAGTATATAATGAAAGAAGAAAATAAAACATGATCACTAAAATATCACAATTACAAGTACTATAGGCAAGATCCATGGGACAAAATTAGTAGTCAGAAATCTGGCAGGTACCATCTTACCCACAATATCAGTTCTAATAAAAGCAGTAATGAGAGACACTAAGAAGGACACATTATCCCTATGGCACTCCCCAGTATATTCAATGCAACCTTGAAAAGCATCAGATGCTTCCAAATCAAGGGTTATTTTCCAAAACACCTTACCAAAAGTTTTCAATGAAGTTAAGATAAGGAAAGACAAAGAAAGACTGAGAAAGTATCATAGATTGACAGAGACTAACATAAATCATGGCTGCTACACATGAGGTAGAATCCTCGATTTGATTTGTAACAGAAAAGGCCTCTTTGGAAAAAAATTGTAAAGTTTAAATACAGCCCAAAAGTATTGAACTCAATCCAGCACTGACCTGGAGAACAAGGCTTGCTCCAAGGTCCCACCACCATCCCAGGGGCATGGGTAAACCATCACTCCGGGAACACCAGATCAAAGACAGCCAGGTTTCTAGTACAGTTCACTACACTGAGGGACTGGTAGCTGATGTAGGAAGCTCCTGGGATGCAGCAATGGGCCTGTTCAAAAGAACAGGAAAATGTCAAGAAGAAAGGGCAAATCATAATCTCAGACCTCCAGCCCACACAGAACAAGTTCAGGAGACATAGACATGGTGAAATTAGAAGTCACACACCTGAAATTTCTGGAAGGATAACAACAGAAGTAAAGAAGCTACTTAGTCCTTGTATTGTTTGGTTTATTTTACATTCTTATGTCTGATCGTCTGGACAGCTATTTTGAAGATAACAAGACACATTATGGTAGCCAATGTTAATTTCCTATTCTTTTGTCTTGAAGTCTTGTATCATTTTCATTGTTTAGTTTCATTTGATTTCATTATGTCTGATTGCATGAGCAGCTATTTTGGAGACAACAAGAAGCATTATGGTAGCCATTGTTGATTTCCTATTATCATGTTTTGAAGGCCTGTATTACTTTCTTCGTTTCGTTTTGACTAGATGTATTGTTTAATTTTGTTTTATTCTCTTTTTAAAAAGTATTTAACTCATGTTCATTTCTCACTTTTCATAATTGTACTGTAAGAAATAGGTAAATAATAATAGCACTCTGTGCTACTTTAGTAGCTTTTTTATAATTCTAAAGTTATTTTTAAATTAAAAAACTTTTACATTCTCACTTTTGTCTAAATTCTTTTGTGATGGTATTGGGAATTAAGCCTAGAAATCAATAATTTTCTAACATCCCCTGACAATTCTAAAGTCACACAGAGTTGCAAACATTGTCATAAAGGGGTAAAAAAATCTAGAGAAAGTGAGAATAGTAATAAAGAGTTAAAAATTAAAGAGCAAAGTTTATTTGCTAGAGATTTCATAAATATAAGATATGCTTCTATGAAACCCGAATACTTACTTTTGCATTAATTTTATCAGACAGTGAAATAATTAATAAAAAATTTACAGTTGAAAGTAAAAGTAACCAATAATAACAAGGGGAAATTGTACACAGGTAGAGTGTTTGCTTCTTCACATATTTTACTCTTAAAAAAGATTTATTTGCTAATTTCATAATTTGAGTAAATAAAGAAAAACTGCCTTCTAAATGAGTCTTACGGACTTAAAGTTTTGAGAACATTTGCCCTGGAACAGCTCAATCACAGGTAAGTAGCAGTGGCCTCTTGCTGCATAGCACATGGAGGCTTTGAATAAAGAAGTGGAATAACTCTTAACTTTTCTCAGCTTTGGATGATTTAGACCCTAAACTTACCTTAGCACAACTGACAGCTGCTCTAATCCTCAAGTGGACACATGTGGACTCACCACTTCTTGGGAGGGATATGTTACTCCAAACTGTCCGTACCATGAATGAAATCTGAATCTAGGACTGAAATATCCCATTAAATTAGCTCCCATTTGAATACTGAACAACAGTAGACAAGACAAAAAGTTCTAAGTCAGTCCTTGACTCTTCTATTAATACAGGTACCCAAGGACCTGAGGTCTAATCGTATAGAAGTATAAATTAGAAACATATAGAAAATAAACACAAAATGTTCCTAATTACCTCCTCACATTTCAGATTAGTACGATAAACACTTCTTAGACTTACCAAGTTTACTTTATGGAAACATTTTAATTTAAAGTAATAGACTAGCATTTTAAAGGAGATAATTTCTGATAAGTATTCAGATAGCCTTTCCGAATCCACTGGATCCAAACACAAACTGAGTTAGAAATAAATATGTACTCAGAGTAAACATCACAATCTAAAAACTATTTTGTTACCTTGTATTACGGTCATTTCATCAGTTTATATTACTTCTCTGGTCTGTATAACTATGAGAGTTTATGACACATGCTTACATGATCAGAAATGAATATTTCTTGCTGGTAAAAACGATCCGCCATCTCAAAAATTTTTTTAAAAACTAGATTGGTTAATATGATGGTGAAGATCTTACAATAGAGTAGGTCAGTTGAATGAGTAAAGGGTAAGCTAATCACATTTGAGCACCAACATATGCTAAAGGATTGGGTTGAGTACACTAACTGTTATATTCTTTTCCCATTTACTATTTACATTTTAGCTATTCCATTTAGCTATTAACCCATTTTACAGATGGCAAACCAAGTCTTAGGAGGTAAGTGAGGCATGCTCCCTTGCAACAGATATGAAGATGGCCACTGCTCATTCTTTACTTCATCACTCACATTATTGGAGAATGGAAGGAAATGGAGAATCAAATTGTGTTGCCACATGCTGGGGCATCTCCCTGTTACACGACTATCTTTAGATCTCAAAATCACTGCATTGTTTTCTCAATAACCTATGGAACCCTTCAACCTCTAAAGAGTTACTGCACTCTAACCTAAATCCAAAGTACCAATAGGAGACTGAGACTAACTGGATACCAGTGGAAGAAAAAACTCACAGATCATTAGGTTAGTGATTTCCAAATCTTTTATCATTGGAAGAGGATGACTTTTCTTTAAGCTAAACTTCTCCCAGACTATGTTCACAGTAAACAGATAAAAAGGGAGGAAAATGGTATTGTACTAGCTGCAGGAGTCTAACGACTATTGTTCTTACTTGGCACCTCCTCCTCCGACTTAGTCCAGGGCCTGAGGATCACGGGGGATGGAGAAAGGAGATATGGAAAAGAACAAAAAATATCCCTAAGCCTTCACTTTCTGAAGAAGGAGTCTAGAGTTGATATCGTACAGAAACGAGCAAATTAGTGACCGTAGGGGAAAATGACACATCTCAGAATTTATAATATAATCCGTGAAGGCTGGAAAACCAGTACCTGTTCTCCATCCAAACCTCAAGAAACTTCAGCCTAGGACTGGCTGATGGTCCTTTAGAAGACATTACAGTTGAAAATTGCTTCTGGTCGTTTATATTCAATCGTATTTAAGAGGTGACCGAGAGGACAGGAGAGCAAAGGAGAAGAAGCAACAAGTTCTAGCAGTGGATTTTACCTAGCTCCCAATTTCTTTAGCTGCATCCAAGGGTTGATCCTTCTTCCGAGCCATCCTCCCCAGGTTGAGGTAAGAGATAAGATAATGAGTCTGCAAAGTGTAAGAAAAGGGAAAAATGGGTTTTTAGTACTGGGCATTAAACCCAGAGTACAAGCTGCATACTGAACCTTTTAAATTTGTTCTTTTATTTTGTGACATAAACTTGCAATTTATTGTCCCAGTTGGTGTTGAACTCCAGACTTTTCTGCCTCAGCTAAGAGTTGGGATTACAGGCTGTGTCACTGTGCCCAGAATACTTTTTAATGTTTTAATGGCAAGAGGAATGCAGTTTGACAGTGACCTTGTCCGCATCACTTTACAGTACACTGAGCATGATTTACCAACATTATTCCAACATCTACAGCTATTATTATTTTAATTTTCAACTTACATGCTTAATGTTTCCTTTTCCAAAAAAACAGTAGTCAAACTGGTTTTTTAAGTGACCAGATTGCTTGGCATGATGTATTATCCTTCCAGAGGCCCCACAGTTTGTACCACCTGGAAAAATGTGCCTCAGTTTCAAAAAAAAAAAAAATGACCTGGTCAATCCCTCCCCTCCTCCTCTTGTGCCATGGTGGGCCCTGGAAAGCCCTTTGATGGACCCAGCTGTGCCCTGCTCTTTGCAGCAGAGAGCCGCCTGTCTGTTCTCACTCCCCTTGGCTCTGCTCCAAGCTCTCCACCTCCCCTCCTCCACCTCCACTTCCTGGCAGCTGGAACAGGAGGCTGGAAGTCAGTGGCACACTGTGGCATCCAGCTGTTTAGTCTGTCACTAATGACAGCCCCCGCTGAATCACGACTCAATAACAGTGCCTTTCCTTCAAAAGAGGTCCAAGGGAAAGCAAAGGAAAGGCCGTTCTGACCTCTGGCCTAAGTTCCCCTGGAGCAGAATGCTCCTGTCATCTTTTTCCTGTAGTTTAGTAGGGAGAAGTGAACTGAAAATATAAAAGCAGGTTACTGAAATTCTCCAGACCTGTTCGCCTGACCCTTGCATTTACAAAAGAAACACGATACTCCAGAGAAGGCCAGGAACAGAAAAAATGGGTTTGCTTGCTTGCTGCCAAAGCATCAGAACAATATATAAATTACAATCACACCTGAACTCCAGCAAGAAAGGAATATGCGGATTGATTGCTCAGCATCGCTGTCCTGCTCTAGTCTGTACCTTCCACTGGACATTGCTCCCTGAGGACCCATCCATCCCCCGGCCACACACACACTTTCCCAGAATTCACTCAAACACCACCTCCACCAACCCAGCGGGCAGCAGGTGGGGCGGAGGCAAGTGAGAAACGATTGGCCCTCACCAACGCAGCTTGGGCCTCCCCATCCTGGGCTCCTCAGACTGGGCACAGTGACATTCAGACAGCAGCAAGATTCCCAGGACTAGCTGTGAGCGCTGGGAAGTTTGGGGGACCCCAGACAGAGCCTGCATTTGGGATTTGAGGTCACAGCTGCCTTGCGATTTCGATTTCGAGGGTAGGGCCAGCTGTGAGAAAGCTGCTCCTTTTCTTTCTCCCTGTCATTCCCATTCATTTTGTGAGTGAGTTCCTTTTTCTTTACCAGCCCCGTCTACCTGTTCCGTGAATATTTTATAATTTTACCTCTACTTTTCCTTTATTGTCACTTCTTTTATCCCCCCCCCACACACACACACGCACACACTTTATTGCTCAACTTCTTCACATCTACGTTCTCCTCCACTCCATTCTCCTCTTCCCATTGCCCTACTTAGGGACACTTGCATTGTTTTTCTTCAGGTTTCCAAGTAATTCTTTCCTTAAGCATATGCTGGAATTTTTCCTGGCTTCATTTCTGCCTTTGCCTCCAAAGCAAACATTCACAAATGCTGGGTAGACTGAGAAATATAAAACAGCACCTTGTGTGAGAACACTCACAGAATAGACTGCCTAGGACTGTAGTTCTGTTGCTAGCATTAACTCTGCACTCCTAATCTCTTCTGATAAGCATGCCTGCAGGGAAGATAAGAGAAATCAAAGACTGCTTTCTCAGCCTTATAGCTTGGAAGTCTGCAAAGTAGTTCTTGGATGAGGCCATTTTAACTCCCTTCCAGTCAAAATGTCCAGGCCTCAGGATCAAATGTTTCACACTGTTCCCTCAGGCTCCCTTGTCAAACCGTCTGACCAGGTAAAAACATAAAGCTTCACAGCCTAAGACAAATATTTTAAACACAGGAAGATCAATGAGTGTAATGCCGGCAATAGAGTGATTCTGTGAATTTGAGAAACTAATGCAGCCAGTGCAGCTGGGCTTGTTCCTGTGCATTAAGTGTATGTACCGATCACAGTAGATGAGCTTAAATATTTACAGAGTGATTTTTCCTCAGAGTGCACTGTAACGAAGAAAGCCCAATAGAAATTTAAAAAAATGGATGAGAGGCTATATTTAAGTGTCATTACAAGCAATTCATAAAGGAATGCCTTTGTTAATTTCCAGTCAATGCATGTTTATATATATACCAATGTCAAAGGCCACAAAAGCAACCATAGGCAATCTAGATAGTCTAGGCTACATGATTTTTGAGCATTCATTAAAAGATACATTCTAAAATAAAACCCTGTCATTGTAGCTCTGAGAAATAATGACAATTTAGTTAATTCTTCAAAGGTCAATTTACTATCAAATGCTGAATATGAACATGTTATTTTTATTTGTCAGCACATTGAACAAATATCAAAGCCAAAAATAAACAGTGGCAATCATTTAAATACCCAAAATTCAAAGCAGCTTCTTATAAGGACTTCGTGAGACAATCATATAAATTTTATTTGGCAAACAATCTAGGGAAATAATATTTCTCTGAAAACATGAGGATGATAAACAGCTTAGATATAGACAACAAATGCATTAATTAAACTTTTTTTATTGGCCCCAGTGTTTGTTTTTGTTTTTTGTTTTTTGTTTTTTTTACCAAATATCTTCAGGACCATCAAACCTATTAAATTAATAACTTTCATTTTTAAAAAAGTTGCTACAGTGTTTTAATTTCTATTCATTTTATAAGGTATTAATTAAAATCTTTTTAATGATAAGACAGGTGAAATGTGGTTAGTTACAAGACTTTTTGAATAGTCCAGAAAGATATAACCAGATGATAAAAGTTGATGCAAACATGATAGACAGGGAAAAATGAATCAGAGAGAAATGGAAGTAGAATTCAAGTCTATGATATATGTGTCACTGAAAATTATGGAAAAGAGGAGAATGACTCCTGAACTAGATTTTTGGAAAATTAGAATTTTGGATGGTTGACATTTTGCAATAAAGTTATTTGTCCATAGTTATTTTTAAAGAATATTTAACTTTCAAGCACTTTTAAACTTACAGAAAAATTGCAAAGGCAATACAAAAAGATCCCATATAACGATATACAGTATACCCTGTTACAAGCATCTTGGTATTGTATACTGCTTGGAATTCTTGAACCGATAGTTATGTATTATTATTATCTAAGATCCACACCAAACATTTTTTTTTGTTTTATGCTAACATGCTTTTCTTCTGTAGGATGCCATATGGAATATGAGATTAAAATTAATTATCAAGTTTCCTTAAGCTCCACTTGGTTGCAGCTGCTTTTCAATCTTTCTTGCTTTCCATACCTCCAGGGTATTGAGTCATACTGTCATCAGGGGTTTTGGAGAACATTATTTGGTTTGAGATGATCTTTTACAATTAAACTGAGGTTATTGGCTTTTGAGAGGAAGAGCACTTAGGTAAAGCAATATTTATGTCATGGACATCAAGAATGCATAGTACTAACATAGTTTAGCACTGTTGATAAAGACTGATGACATAAATGACGTAGCAAGTGTCAGGTTTCCCCATCTGAATTCTCTCCACCCTCCGCCTCCTTCCACACCATACTCTTCAGAAGTAAATTGCATTCCTTGTATACTCTAGATAATAGTCCTCTCTGGGGAGCAGCTAGGATTTTTTTTATCCAGTTTTGTAGCTCATCGTATTCTATTGCTTCCTTGGTTGTGCATAAGCCTTTTAGTGTAACACTGTACACTCTCATTCATAGACTGTTGGTGCTATTTCTAGTGCAACTGATGATCAGAAAATGTGAGTACTATTCAGCCATAAAGGATCAACTTCAGTCATTTGTAGGAAAATGGATGCCCCTTGAGACCATATGCTACATAAGAAAGTTAAATATCATGGTTTTTCTATATGAGAAACCTGAACCATAAATAATTTAGGCAGCAAAATAGGAGATAATAATAGGAAACAGACACAATAGACTTTGTGGAGAGGGGAATGGGATTGGAGAATATGGGGTGATGTTAAGCAGTAGAGGGGAAAAGGAAAAGAAAATGGATCAAGATATGAAATCCCCTTCACCATGAATGTACTTCATGTATGGAAGCTGCCATATGCATGTTTCACTCAAAAAGGGGAAGTCAAGGTTCACCCCTTTTGAAAACAGTTTCTACAGAAGTTTTTTTGGAGTTTTACAAGAGTATTTGTTCTCTGCAATTTATTTATTTTCACTCATTTATTTATACCAGGGTAGACTCACTGATACTAATTTTTTACCTGAGCTATAAATCAATATTATTTGATTTTTTTTGTTCAAAGTCTTCCTATTTAGGTCACCGGAAGTACTTTCAATTGGTTCCTGTGTACCTTCTGAAGTGTCACTATCATTAAAAGTTTTATTTGGCTCTGAACCCTTCCCTGCCCTGTAACACCTCAAGACTGCCATCTCCACTGTGTATGTTTCCTACCCACTTCTAGGCCCCAAAGGTTTTGTTTATTGGATAACTGTGTTAAGAACCAGAGTCAGGGTATCAGTTGTCCTCAGCTGTTACTTGGCTGCTTATTGCTTCTGCTAGCTGATACATGTTAGGGTATATCCTCAAACCTTGTGCACATATCTACAAATATTTCTAATCTAAATGTCTATGTCTAAATTAAAATAAACATGAGTCTATCTGACTATTTTGAATCTATTCCATTATCAGTCATGTAGATCATCCTGTCCTCCTCTCCCCGTTTATCTGTACTCTTCCATTTCAATAGGAAAA